TGAATTAGTACTACAGAAGAACTTGATATACGTGACATCGATCACTATTCAGTTATCAATCAATTGTGAATACATCTCAGTCCTACAGGAGGTCATTTGGATCCAAACAGATTTTGAAGGACCCCCATATTGTTTTAAATTAAGATTAGATATTTGGGGTTTGAGTTTTCATCACAAACTAACATCTATGATATACCGATGCTCTGTATTCATAAGATTGAATAAATTTCACTCGAATATTCAAGCGATACCGTCTCATTAGTTTATTTATGAAATACAATTCCACCAAGTTAATATTCATTTCGGTATTAAGGGTTTAGGGTCTCTTATATACAATCTAAAGAGACAAAATTAAGCATTTGATACGTTTAACACTATCATTCTTACTCTAGGATGATCTAGAGTAATTTCCCTTTGTCGTCTTGCACGTTTCGAGCTGTATATAAAGGTATATCGACTATTCCGGAGAGGCTCTAATTTATGGACGACCTTTGAATGACCTTGAGAATTATTAGCCAATCAGAAGACAGTTAGTATAAAGTAAAAATATATTATAAAAAACTAAAGAATTAAAGTGGATATTCTTCTTTTACAAAATTCAAAAACTTATTAAGGTTTGAAAGAGGTTCAGAGGTTCTGAAATCGTAGTGCATACAGTATAAAAACTGATCTATATGGCTCCATAATAGTCGATCTCTGGAGCCGTGATAAAGTCCTAAAAACTCCTTTAGCCTGGACCATATGGCTTCAATATTATTGTTGTGAATGCTGGTTGTAGAGTCGACAAAATGGCGCTTGTGTACAACGACATGATGCATACACCCAAGACTATGTAGGCATCTATACACTATTCAATCATCTGTATATATCATAGTGCCCGGCTGCATGTATTACTGTATAATTGATATGATTGTGGTTGCTTGACAGTTTCTGATCCTTTGAAAATAACAACTATTTTAAAGTATAGAAATCCTTGTAGTTAGGTCGTTCATTCAAGGATAAGTTGATCACTGAGTTTCCTGTTAATAAATACGTACTTTGACCCTAAAAGTAGTGATTTTCTACTTATCCAGTAATATAATGATATTCATTTGACTGATGAGTTAATAATCATGTACAAATATCATAATCTCTATTGGTTTGGCATTTAGTGTTTCCCCCCCCCTCCACACACACACACACACATACTCCTTACTTTGACAGAACATGAATTTAACAATCAGATAAAACTTTTATAGAATAATTCAATTGTAACTCAATAATAGCATCCTAGTAATAAAACTAAATAGATTACCATACCATAAAACATATGGGAGAATTAAAATGTTTACAAGAATTTGCTATAGGTAAAGGAAAATTGATTAACTAATATACAATTTCAATGATTAAGATCATGAGTCAGTTGAAGCTAGACCACCATGGAAAACCTGGAAGCACTGGACGGCCGTTTCGTCCTATTATGGGACTCCTCACCGTTGGATGCCGGCTCAGTGGTCTAGTGGTTAAGTGCTCGCGCGCGAAACCAGTAGGTCCTGGGTTCGAATCTCGCAGGGGGCGAGGTCGTGGATGCGCACTGCTGAGGAGTCCCATAATAGGACGAAACGGCCGTCCAGTGCTTCCAGGTTTTCCATGGTGGTCTAGCTTCAACTGACTCATGATCTTAATCATTGAAATTACTACAATCTCCACAAAACCCCTTCTGATAATAATATACAATTAATTAACAATAATTTAAGGGAAGAAAAATCATATCACTACCATATATACAACAATACGAGGAATAGAAATATACAATAATTTCCCAAGGTTTATTTATATTAGTTGTTCTTGTTGTTATTTGGATCTTTCGATTGTTGTTTAGGAATCCGATTGATTGGCATGTATACACATACACCTTGTACAGATTGCCTTCATATGGTTATTGAATGACAAACATCTTAAATAGATGAGTGATAACTAACAATGGAATCTAGGAGGCATGTCTTGTCCTATTTGGGATTCGTTGATTGAATGTGCTTATGTGTAACCGTTTATATTCACTCAGATACTTGGATCTAGTATCATTCACTTCAAATGTCATTACATTATCTGTATAGTTATTGAGTTCAGACAACCACTGTTTTGTGAGATTGAAACGGATGACTCTTGGTTCAAATCATGGAGTGAAGATTAACTTTGGGATTTAGGTGCATCCAGTCGATATATTCCGAATAAGACGAAAACGAGTGTCTTGAATTTCCATAAGGTAGTTCTGAAATTTGAACATTTGTCAAATACTTTTTGAAACGACAATTATTATATTCGATGACTAATCACCAAATTCAAGTAAAATCTTTGTGTAGACGACTGTGATTTAATCACTAATTTGTTTTCGTGTTCTTTGGACTTACGCCTGTTACTGTCAATGAAGCATAAGCCGCCGACCAACATTCTCCAACCCACTTTGTACTGTGCCTTCCTTTCTAGTTCATTCATCTCATATTTGTCTCCATTTCTCAGCGTAATGTGTTCTCTGGTCTTCCTCTTCTCCTTTGGCCTTCAGGATTCCATTTGGGGGCTTGTCTTGAGGTGAAGTTGGGTGCTTTCCGCAATGCATGTCCTATCTACTTTCAGCGCTTCCTCCTGATTTCTTCTTCTGCTGGGATTAGGTTTATTCTTTCCTACAGTAGGTTGTTGCTGATAGTGTTTGGTCAACGTATCCGAAGTAATAGTTGAAATCCTGAGTCAATTGAAACTAGACAACCATTAAAAGCTTGGAAGCTTTAGATGACCATTTCGTTTTATTTTGGGATTCCTCAGAAGTGCGCATTCACGATTCTGCCTCGGGAGATTCGAATACAGGTTCTATTGGTCTCGCACGCGAATACTTAACCACTAGACCACTGAGTCAACATCCAACGGTGTTAATGTCTAACCTTAACCAATCTACAAAATTAAGCAACATATCCACCGTTGTCTTCAATGAGTTACTATCTCACAACTGCTGAACAGTCCCACAATAAGACGAAACTGCCGTCCAATGCTTTCAGATTATTCATAGTAGTCTAGCTTCATTTGACTCATTATCTTAATTATTTAAATGACTACAATCTCCACAAAAACCCCTTCTAATATGTATTTTTATTGTCAAATAGAATGAAATACACTTCATCGATTCTATTACTAACCATAATTCTAATATATGCCTATGTTCTTTTCATATGTGCAAATCATCAATAATCCTCATGCACACACACACACACATACACATACACATACGCACATTTTTTTATCTTGTTTCTATGGTAGTTTTTCTTTTCCAAGAAATATATTTACCGTCTAGCAATGAATCATAATTTAAGTTTTTAATATCCTAAAGTTTAATTAAAAACAACTTTCTTATCTAAGAAATCATCCATAAAAAAGAAAAGAAAAGAAAAGAAAAGAAAAGAGAAGAACAAACAAGAATAATGATGTAAATCGAGAAATTTTACAAAATTATCAGTTAACAGAAGAAAAAAGTACATAAATAAACCTTGAATCTGTGTCATTAATAAATATGAATTAGGTAATTAAGCTACAATCGATATGAATTTGATGGATCTGTAATACAGACGTAAAGGTGAGGATTAACAAAGCAAGAACAGTATTTCTACAATGGAAGAACATAGAGTGATCAATACAATTATCTATTAACCAATATCAAAGTTTCTTTTTGATTGAGATCATGTACCGCTTTGATGTTAGACTACCGTTGGTAACTTGAAAGAACTGGACGACCATTTCGTCCCATTGTTGGACTCTTCAGCAGTGCACATCCACGATTCTGCTGACGGGTTTCGAATCTATGACCTTCAATTAGTGTCTAACAATATCAATGTCACAGTCTTCAACACAAACGTCAAGATAGTTCCACTGTATGGAGCTGAAACTTTGAGTAATACAACAATCGTCATCAAGAAAGTACAAGTATTTATAAACAATTGTCTATACACGATACTCAACATCTATTGACCAGATACCATAAATAACAGCTGACTATGAAAGGGAACAAATCAACTTCGAGATTAAGAGGATATTAAGAAAAGATTATACAGGTAGATAAGATATACATTACAAAAATCACCAAACTGTATCATTAGGCAAGCATTAACTTGTAATACTGAATGAAAATCGAAAAGAGGAATGTTAAACAATACACTACGTCAGGAATTAAAATTAAACATGAAAAGGAACAACAGAAACTCAAAACAACTGGAATAGATTGTTCAGAACAGAATTGAATATAGAATACTAATGGGCAACCTATACTCTTCCAATAAGGAGTAACAAGTGCAAGTAAATAAACTACAATTAATCACTTCGTTAGATTTAACTAATTTGTTTAGTTAACTAATATCATTATAGAAATATGAAAGAGGAATTCTATGAATATGCATATCAAATAATAATAATACTGGTTTATGTATTCTATCAATGTGTTATATGTCTGTTTCCATATTTATGTTTGTCTCTCACTCATTACTCTATCCTCTCTTATCCCCCTGTCTTACTACATTCTTTTAAGGAAAAAAAGATATCTCTATGCATGTATGTATGTATGTATGTATGTATGTATGTATGTATCTAGTAAACTAATACATACATATAACGTAAATAGACACAAACACAAATCTGTACACATACATAGATACAAACCTATTTGGCGAAGAATAAATGAATGAATGGATGAATGGATGAATGAATGGGATATCTATCTACTTATCTATCTATCAGTATTTTTGTTGTTGTTGTTGTTGTTATTGCCCAATTGATTTTGTAATCTGATTTGTTATTTAATGTTGTATCAATAATATGCGTGGGTTGTTTAAATTTTCATTCATAGAATTATTTTCATCATCATCACCATCATCATCACCATCATCATCACCATCATCATCATCATCATTATTATCCTCACCATTATCAATACAAGTAATAATTAGAAGCATTGATTAATAATAACAATAATAATAATAATACCAATGTATAAAGGAACTAATAGTAATAATGATTAATCTCTATAGAATGGCTTAGCAACAACTATTATTATTATTACCTGAAAATCTATCCTATCTAACCTTAATAACTAATTAATAGTAGGCTATTGATAGTACTATATTATGATCCATGGTTAATATTATTTGAAATATGTCACATTTAACCAAATGTTATATTACACTAATCTGAATGGATATAAAATTTATACTTAAAACAAGTACTCAGGGAAAAGGAGAATATCTATTATCGATTCTATAATGGATATCTATCTATCTATCTATCTATATGCATAATAATCAATAGATATATGGAAAATTGATTATATTGGATATTAATCTAAAGAAATACAAACTAATGGAAGTAAGTTCTATTTCAATATGTTACTTTTCGTCTTTTTCTTTGTTTTTTTTTTTTTATTTTATTATAAAATGGTCAGTATTTATGGACTTACTTACTTACTCCTGTTACCCCCCACCCCACCCCAACCGCGAATGGAACATAAACCGCCGACTAATATTCTGTAATTCACAATGTCCTGGGTATTTCCTTCCCAGTTCTATTTAATTGTTGTTTATTTTTCTTATGTTTGTTTCCATTTCTTAGTATAATATGTTCTTTAGTGTTTCTCTTCTTGTTTGGCTTTGAGGAATTCATATGAGGGCTAGCCTTGTGATGCTTTCCTTATTAGGTGTCCGATCTACTTTCAATGTTTCTTCCTGATTTCTTCTTCTGCTGAGATTGAGTTTATTCTCTCTCCTAGTAGGTTGTTGCTGATAGTGTTGGGTCAATGTATTCAAAGTATTTTATGTATATAAATGTACCAAACTAACTCGATAAAGAAAAACACTAACCATCAAAAATAAAATGGTCAGTAACATTAAATTAGTGAACTTCAGTTCTTAGAAACGAATAAGTAAATAGATTGTTACCATTTTCAATTGATTGATCACTTAGCATTAGTCATTGAAATAACTACTTCTATACATCTGGTATTCATCTTGTTGTACTAATTAGGTATGGCAATTCGGACCGATGGATATATGTTCCTGGTCCTACGTTGTAGCTGACTGACTGATTGATTGATTGATTAATTGATTGATCACTAAGTAGTGGTTAATCGATGTAAAAATAGCATGATAGTAATATTTCACACTGTGAAACATGGTGGTTTAGGTTAGAATCTATCTGTGAACACTAGTTCTCTTGAAATTGTAGACATGACTTACTAACTAGAACCGAATAGCAGGAAAAATAAGTCAAGTAGGATATCGTTCTGACTATCACCTACCACCTAACATCAAACTTGATATAATCTTAGGTTTATTGCTATAAAATTTGCGAAAACATACATGTATATACAGTGATTTTAAATGGGGTATAAAATTTTCCAAAGTGTACAATTAGCTTTCATCTTTTCACTGAACATCATCTATAAAGTATACTCTCATTTTGTAAACTCTATGAAACACATCCATCTTCGTTTTATCTCATATAGAAATACAATATTTTGGTGGTTAAGGCCTTTGATTTCCATCCATGAAGGCAACGGGTTCGAAACCTCTTCCTACTTACTTAAGTTCAGACAACCGTGAAGTATCATTAGTCACTAGGCTTTAGGCCTAACTTACACCTTAGTACCTAGCGAGTGAACTAATTCTGATGTTTTAGTAAATTAAGATAGAATAAAGTTGATAAGTTAAAAAGATATAACTCTATTAACAAGGAATGCTGTTTGTTCTGCTTGATTATATCACTCGAAATGCTTAGCAAGACAGTACAAAATCGATTTGTTAGTGTGTATTGATTGAGTTTTGTGAAAATAAGTTTCATTTATGCGTTGTATTCATCACAAATTAATCCCAGTCTGCATACCATTAAAAATCAGAAAACATTGGATAGCTACCTAATTCTAATATTAGACATCATGCAGTGCCAACGCACTATCCCACCACGGATCGAACGTATGACCTTCAGGTCTAAAAGTAATCACCTGATCATTTAAATTACTGAGTCATTACCGTACAATGGTAAAGTTCCAAAACAATATGTTATTATGGTCTACATCAAAAGAATTTTATTGACATAATGAACTTACTGAATTGAGACATTCACTGAAGACTAAGAAACACATGACAACAATTTCATCCCAGTACAAGGCTTCTCAAAGGTGCACACCCACAACACTGCTACAGAGGATTGAAACCAAGATCTTAGATCTCGTTGAGAACGCTCAAACGTTAGACTACTGAACCGAAATCCAATAGTGTACAAGTTGAACTTCAATCAACATTTAACATCATACAACCTTCTTTCATCGTTTTCAAAAGATAAGCGCCATACACCCGACACATTTGAACTCCAATGATTATGGCTTCTAACCGAGAACAACTATTGAATGATTCCTGGATTTAAATGGATGTCCAACTTAGGTCATTTCGTGGTATCAATATCAATCAATAATCTTAATAACAACTCTATACCGATAACAATGAAATCAAAAAAGGGTTATAAACTAATGTGAATACTTAAAATTAAGATTTAGAGTTAGAAGTTTTGGTTAGCAGTTAGAGTTAAGGTTCTTATCACCAATTGACATCAGCTACAATCCCAAAATATCATTTAACCATATAGATAAATAAATTCATTCAAGAACCCAAGAGTTTCTATCTTAAATCTAACTAGTTCGTCCATAAATTATAGATCCATTCAATACTTCTAATGATACTGATCTAATTTCTTCATCCAATTCAGCCTAAACAACTTACTAGTTAGAGAAGAGTTTTTGTCGGTATTATAGTAATTTCAATGGTTGAGATCATGAGTCAATTAGAGCTAGATCACCACGGAAAACTTGGAAGCACTGGACGGTTGTTTCGTCCTATTGTGGGACTCCTCCAAATCAAATTCCAATTGGTCTAATGAGTTCCATTACATTTTCTACAATAAAGTCTACAGAATCTCACATATATATAATTTTGTTGTTTGAAGTAATCACTCAGTAAACTCACAGTATATTGACTGATTGGGATTTGAAAGCCTTTTGCTAGTCATACGACCCGAAAGTCCTGAATGGTAGCTAAGAAATAATAAACTATGAAGAGACAGCTGTTCAGGGCTATACTATCTAGGGTGTCCAGCTACAAAATATGATAATCAAACGGACACAAAGAAAGAGGTTTGTACATTTTTGACTCGACTTGGTCTACTAGTTACTGATTTCAAAAAAGTGATATCATACCTCGGTCTATCTGTTCCTATTTCTCTTCTGGTTTAATCATCCGCTGGTTAGTACCTCTCATCGGTTTGGTGGATGATTAGGTTTGCATAGAACATCACGCAACCCTTTCAAAACAATACAGGGTTACAACGCTACATGTATTAACTATGCCTATACACTATCTACTAAGACGTGAGATGATGGCTAGAATGGAAAATAATCATAATCAAATAAGGCAAGATATAGTATCGATTAGTGAAGGTCATAATTCCTGATCTTATATACATCGCTAAATTAACAATTTTTGGCTAAGGTTGGCACATCACCCGTCATCTCTGATTGGAAACGTTCGGTGATATACTTCCAAATCAATAACGGTAGTACATCTACAATGATATCTTGTTTTCGACTGGATCTATCACAGTTTTTATTGATTAAAGACTGATCGATCACTAGGTAGTTCCTCATATCATGCTTGTCTAGTCTTTTAGTGATGATCCAATTCTTTCGATTAATTTGGAATATGCTGGCAATTGGTGTAAGTGACTCAACATCACGTTCAATCTGTTGAGATTTTAGGCGATTGGAAGTAATCATCGGGAAACATTGCCTGACCTAGGCTTCATGCTAGTTGACATTTATCAGTATGGTGTACTTATACTCTTGAGGGAGTCAGCGTTTCCTGCGAGATATGAACACATATTAACAGACTTCTTAGTTTGATATATTACCACCGAACGAAATAGACCATGAGTGAATACATGTAGGTCTGAGATGTATTTACAATTGATTAATCACTGTGTAGTAATGATCAGTGTCATGTTGCTGTTGTGTGTCAATAAGCACGAAAAATAGATCTCGGAAATCCAGTCAACTACTTCCATCTACTTTACATTAAATCATAGTGTATACAGTGTTAAGTCACTTAATGATTAATGACAATTGGGTAACTTGTTCTGTAGAGTTCTATCAACTCATTAAAATGATTAGACAAACACGATATTGATTACTACTCATTAGTCAATCAATGTACCAGTTAGTTCATTCAGTACAATTGGAAACCATGTTAGTGTTGCGTGTATGTTTCTCATTTACTGAAGAGGGAATCAATTGACAACTGGTCATTATTCCCAGATGGAAAAATTCATAAACGTTCAAAGGAACATACAAATATTATATTCAGTTTGTAATGGTTTTAATTGAATTTTGATTAGTCTTGATTGGTATATGTGAATAGTTCATGGAATGTCTCGATATAGCCATTATAACACGAGTTTTCCTAGAATAAATAGGATATGACTAGCAGTAAAATCCGAGACATGTATTTTGTCCTGTTCGAGACTTATCAGCTGAATGTGTCTGTATCATACAGCTGATGTTCACTCAAAGATTCGAACCCATTAGCTAAGTAAATAACGAAAGATAGTTGGTCTGAATCCCTGAGTAAATATCCTCTGTGATATGAAGACACATCTAGCTGATGAGTCTGACATGAGAAGAAACATCTTTCCATTTATTCTATATTTAAAAAAACATCCGTTAAGAAGCTATACTGGATCAGTAGTTAAATAACATATTCGATTCTTTTCAAATCTAAACGTATTTCATCTGGCCTTCTTCTGAATTCTAGTTAAATAATCTTGTATGATCTTGTACCGTTGAATTCCTTTGATTCATCACAATATTCAAATGATATCTCGTTCATGATCATTGTGAACTTCAAGAATATAGATATGATTCCATCATTCAATTAGAAAACAAGTATTTAGTTATAAAATAATTTGTAATACAGAAAATGTAAGAAAATTACAATGGATAAACAATGTCGATATTGATATGTTAGGACATGTGAAACAGTCGGGTTTAAGTGTGACAGATCATGAATTAGAGTTAAAGAGTTAGTATAAAAGAATGATTTGTCGTTATAATGAACAAATAATTTTTTGATCGAGATCATGAATCGATTGATTGACGGCGGCCTGCTTGAATATCTGGGCTACTTGTTCCTCCCATCTAGATATTTCGTCAAGTTATCTGTTTTCTTGTTTGTTTTGACACACTATTATGTCTATTGAACTCACAACCTATTCAGGCGCGTTTACTAAAAGTTTACAACGTTTCGCTGTACGGATTACAAAAAGGT